GAGCTTGATTCTCGTAAGTACTGAAAAGCTGTTCTGAATTCGGTAAAAGCTCTGGAATCTGTGCATGGGTTGTTGTCCTCAGATCAGGTCAGAGTGAGTAGAAAAAAGGCTCAACAGAGCAGAGAGCTTTCCCACAGAGAAAGAGAAGAGAAACTCCAGGATGACATGAACAAGAACAAAAGCAAGGAGCAACTGTAGAAGTCACCCTGAGGATTATGTGTATTTCTTCAGTTGATGCTGTTAAAAATTCATATTCATTGCTTTAAAGGACCACATTTCATCCTTCATTCCTGCAAGACTCTTGCTGTAGATTGTGACGATTATTTACATCTCAATTTATTTCTCAGCCCATTAGCCATAATTAAAAATAGAATTTTGCACTCTCCAGAGTCCTTTCCTGGAGACTTTCACCTTGTAGATGAAAGGGGATTAGATAGGATGATTTATTGGGCTCATGCACAGTCCCCTGAGTGTACTGTGGCACTGAGCTGAAAGATAGATGAAATGATATCCAGTCTGGCAACCACTTGCACCATGAGTTGAATAAATCCTGTCCCTTGACAAAAACTCTGTCCTGTTCCGTCCAAATTTGCTTGAATTCCTGATGTGTGTGGGCTCTTGGTAGCATGAAGTTAGGGTTGGAGAAGGCAGTGGCTGTCCGCCAAGGCATTCTGGCTTTAGGATGCTGGACTCTGTACCTATGATTGTGTTGTCATGAAGTGCCTTAGGCTGTGCCAATGAAAAGTGCCCAAAATTATTTTTTACGGTTATGACATTCCATCTTGAAGAGGGAATTGGAAATGATGTTCAGAATCACAGATCTGACATTTGATCATTGCTCTGCAATTACTTTTTAGATTTTTAGGACTTTTTGGTACTAAAGCCAAATAGAAATGCAGTCATAAATCTGGCAGAGGCTTTGCTTTCTTGCTTACTTCTCCTCTGCTAAGTCAGAGAAACAAAAAGAAAGAAATATGTGGCTGCGCACAGTTACTACCACAACATTAAAAAATTCTTTGAGGTGATTATTCTATGAGAGGAGATAGCAAACCTTTGTTATCACATTTGTTAGGGCAAGGTTTCAGGACCATGATGTCTTTTGAAACATTTCTAGATGCTTTATTACTTTCTTAGATGCTCTTAAAAGTGTGCTTTTTTTTAACTCTGAGTTCTTTGTCTTTGCTAGGTACTAATGAGGGATCATCCTGAAATACTCTTGATAAAACCCTAGCTTATTCATACCAAAACACCTTTTTTCTTCAACTCAGAGTGATGTCATGCAATGTGTCTCACAGGAAAAGATAAAAGATCCCGGCAAAAGGATGCAGCTGGCTAGGGCTGTTTCCCTTGCAGGAAAGGATACTGGCAGGAGGGTAATGTACTGGGACTGAAGTGTATTGATTTCCACAGATGCCTTATTGCAAAAAATTCTGATGTCCAGAATGGAATCTGGTCTGAAAGAGAAGGAAAAAAACTCTACCACCCTAGAGAAACTGCTTGTAAGAGCACAGGATTGCTGATAGCATCCCAGCTTCAGGACCCCAATTCTAATTCAGGCACAGTGAAAATCTGCACCAGTTTAGTGAGATCCAGTCTATAGAGACTGGGTTTTTATTGCTATTACTGACTGAACCCTAATGGCATAGTTGTTTCTGTTGATAGTTTGAATTCCTTGGATATTACTCTGGTTTTAGTGTCTTTCAGATATTTTTTTCATTAATGAATCTGTGCTGTCCATATGCTATGATTTTTCAGGGATGCTTTTTCTTTGGTAGGTTAAAGAGATGTCTTTAACCTGCAACACTTCCTCGGCATAGTGGCGTTGTGGTGAAAAATGGTGATTACATGTAAAAGCTCATTGTGGAAAATATATCCTTTGGCACATCCAGTTCATTAGGGCTATGTAACTGATACAAAAACTACATACAGTTTTCTTGATTTGCAGGATTTTTTAGTCTATCTCAAAGCTGATTCTCATTACATCTTTGGACTTCTTCCTAGAAATTAGGAATACTTAAAAGCAATCTGTGGCTTGTGTCATCAGTGTATGATTCCACCACTGGAAGAGATACATTTGGGTAGACTGAAAGAGGACGGAACTGGTTGTATTTTCAACCTAAAATAGTACTTCTCCAGATTGTGTTTGGGCAAATATTGTTCTCTTTATGTGCTTGCATTCCAGACAGTCTGTGGTGTACCTGTGAAGCAGAACTGTCTTGTCTCCAGGACATATCCCACAGACTGTTGCCTTCATTTTTGTAGGATTGTGAGCGGAAGGAACTGAACATGTGGCAAAATTAATAATTGGGTAGCATTCATAGTTTTATTCTTAATTAAGGACAATTGGTATGTAGGAAATGAATAAGACGTTTTTATTACAAGCAGGGGTTTCCATGGTTGCCCCCTGCCGAGATACCTGGAGGTCATTTTTTTGGGGGAGTTGGGGAGCCATTTTGTGGCTGAGGACTGGTGGGCTGCTTACTGTTCTGCTTACAGGGTTGCTTACAGTTACTTACTGTTACTTACAGTTAGGGTGTGAAGATGGGCAGGAAAGTATGTAAGGCAGTAAGACCAGTCTGGGCTCACTGCCAAGGGACCATGAGGCTGGAGGCAGGGAAACAACTTGATAGGTTGATCAAAACAACCAATGGACTGCAAGAAGAAGACTATATGACCTTTTAAGGAAGAAAAGAGGGAGGCTTGGCATGGGAGGAGCGAGGGAGTGGTTATGTAAATCAAAGGGTCTTAAAAAGGCTCGTCCCTCCCATTTGGGGTGTGCTCAAACCTGGTCACGAGTTTGGTGCACTCAGTGTGCTGTTAATGAAGTTCTTTGTTTCACTTCATTTGGCCATCTCTGAAATTTTAATTAGAGATATTTCTCACAGCTATGTGAAATGTATTTCCTCAGGGCTGTGGTGAGGGAGAAGTCACAATTTCACCACTAAAACAAAGCAGAAAAAGACACCAGCAAACAAAATAGGCATACTCTAATATTCATCAAAGTCAATAGGAACTTTTTGACTTTAAAGGGCATTGGACTGCAAGATCATATTAAAATGCTTGGAAGTGCTTAAGTACTTATTCTTACCATACTGCAGTAATAGAGCCAGAAAAACTGTAGGTGGATTTTAATTTAACCCACTCTGTACATTTTTAATTGTGTTCACATAGTTGGTTGCATACAGTTGGATTAGGTGGCAATTTGCCTGATGATTTGTATTTGACTGTTGCTACATGGCATGCTCTTTTATAGTTGTTTCTCTCTTTACATAGTCTTCTTGTAGGCTGATACAATCCTTGCTTAAATTAATACACTTCTGTGAAAGCAAAGCTAGCGACTTCTGTGAGTTGTAGTGTTGTTATTTAGTGGTCTCAGTATGGTACAGTTCTTACCCTGGGGATGGGACTGTGGAAGGGGCTGCAGGTACGAGTGTCTCTTCTGCTGAAAGGACTCACAATGCTGCAGAGCATGCATGGTCCTTTTTGTGGGACTTGGAAGAGGTCACTGAGCTATCACCACTGCTGCTATGTCTGCTGTTGATCGGTGTCTGTTATCAAGAAAGCACAAACCACTCCAAGCAATGCACAGTTTAAACTTCAGGGCCCTGGCGGAAATTGGTGTTAGGGTAGGGAGTTTAAGGGCTGGCTGAAGGCTTCAAGATGCAGGAGAGTAATTATCAGCCAGCCTGGTCTCTATTATTATTCACCCAGCTAACTGATGATTTGGAAATTTGGTTAGCCACTAATCTTTGTCTGACTTCAGAGATCTGTGGCCCCTCAACATATTGGAGAAAGCAAATGGTTGCCTTGAAACAGATCAAACAGAGTGGTCTGAAAGCCAGTTACTACCCATCTGGAAGATGCAATTTAAATGGCATTGCATCTCAATTGCTTCTAGTGCTTGGCAGGCTGTGTTCAGAGAAGGCCATTGCCAATGCAAGGTGAAGTTGAGAGCTGGCCCATTTGGAGATTTGTTGTGCTTACTTATGATCTTTATTTATTGCCTCAATTTCATCTGCACTGATTACATGCTATGTTTTTAAGTAACTCAAATTTAAGAGGAATGTCTGCCTATGAAAAGATAGAGCATTTGCCACTTCTGTTTTCTGGTAAATCGTATTTTGAAAGTCAGGACTGAACAGAGCACAATGAGCCCTTTGTCCTTGCACAGCAAACTGAATTTAAGCAATGCATGTTATGACAAATGGTATGAGTTTTGTGGCTTGGGCTCCAGCAACAAGAAAAGGCAATCCTTTTTTCCCATCAGCCAAATAATATGGCACCATTTAATACATCTGGTATGAAACCTAAGAATAATAGGTATAATAAAGAAACTGAAAACTTTCTTCTTTTACAAACTGAAAGGGGGGGGAACTGTGAATTTTGCTTTGAGAACCGTGCTGGAAAATGGCCTTTCTTGCCCCTCCAGGTCTGTAGTCTTATTTTATAACCACATTGGTATTTCTACCTGTCCATTCATTTCACTGATATTGCAAAACAACAAAGGAAGATGGAGGTTTTTTTGTTCTTTTAATGTGTGGAGCTCACTGGAGGTGACTTCAGTCAAAGTCTAGGATTTAGAAACCCCAGAGATTAAGATGATTTGCTCTTTGCTTCTGCAGGATTATTGGAATCGGTTTCTAATTTATTTTATTTTTTAAGAAAATGTCTTTTATTGAAAACCACTAGATTTATAAATGTGCCAAGTATGCCACTGCTTCTGTGGATTCAAGAGTAAGTCCCAAAAGAATGACTATTTTTTAAAAAATCTAATTTAATTTTTTTAAATCTTTTGACTTGTTTGTTCTATGTTCTTATTGCTGTTTGGCCTGGAGAAGAATAAAGGAACTAGAGAAACCTGCCTTCTGTCTGCAGTTTTGAATCTGGTTTAATTGCATGTTTAATTAAGTGGTCTGGTTTAATTGAATGTATAATTGTTGTAGACGGAAACCTGCTTGCTTGCATGCACTGGTGAAATATTTATTTGGTTTCTTGTACAGAAAAGAGTCGAAGACGTCATCTCTCCAATTGTATTTGAAGCTGCGTACAACCTTTGGGAACATGTGATAGAAAGAGGAAAAGAGGACAAGGAACTACCTGCTCTCAAGCCCATTCTCCGTTGGAAGAAAGGACAAAAGATAGCACAAAGGAATCAGGTCAGATTTGGACTACATTATTTCCCTAGAAGACCTGTGGCTTGAACTGACAGCAGAGCTGGCTGTAAAAGTGGATTGCCAAACTCTGGGTCATTTGCAAAAAGTAGCCTTTTTGTACAATCCCTACTGTTGCTAACATCTCTACTGTTCCATAACATAGTAAAGACTTGGGCTGCCAAGACTGGACAGCAAAAGGTGAGGCCACTTTCTTGTTTCAGGGTGTCTGTGCTGGGAAGGGAAAGGATAAGAAAGGTCCTATTCCTCCTGTTCTTCCCTTTATGCAGGAAGTTCTAGTGATAGGCTTGGTCCTGGCCTTCTTTCCAGGTTGAGCCTTTGTTAGTGCTGGAGGGACAGAGCTGACTCCAGGAAGGGAGTGTGTGAGGGGAGAACAGTGGGCAGAATAAAGAAAATTTGCCTGGCTCAACTGCCCTCTTCTTGAGGACTCCTCAAGTCCAGTTATGTGGCAAGAGAAACCTGCTCCAGCTGTCACTGTAGGACATGTCATGGTAAAATGGGATGGTTTTATTTCAGAGAAAGTAAAGTGTAGGTAGAGCCATCTACATATTAGGATCCTATTTTGTTCCACTGCAATGCAGAGAAACCCTTCTGTCATTAATTTTGGTGAGAGCAAGAGAATTCCCTTAATGTTGAAACACTCCTCATTTAAAGGGTAGAAATTCTTTCTATTATTATTATTATTTCATTTTTCTCCCATCCCCCTTTCTCCCAGATTGTTCCCTAGGGGTCTGAAGTGCATGAGATTATTCCACCTCTCGTTTGTCTGTCTTGATCTCACTAGTATCTTTGAAAAATGCAGGCAAACGTTGTCAGGTTTTGACAGGAGTGATCAAGGCAGTGTTTATGGAGGTATTAAACACTTTCAGGGTTCACGAAGCATGTGCTCGTGTTGATGAGAGAGACCCTGCTAGTGGCCTTTTAAAAACCTCCATTTTCAGTGTAGCCCTTGTAGGTGCAAAACAGTCTGCCGAGGAAGGAGCCCGCACAACAATTCAGCCTTCCACCATGCCAGCACTGAAGCGTTCAGCCATGAAGTTCAAGGCTTCTGAGGGAAATCAAAGTTCTGCTATGGTAGGGAAAGCTTCTCGTGTGTCAGAATTGTGAGGTAATTTACACTGGAAGGGTCCTCTGTAGCTCCAGTTCCTTACTCAAAGTAGAGCCAACTTAAAAGTTAAATTGAGTTGCTCAGGGTTACATCCATTCAAGTTCATTTTCCAAAGCATGCTTACATAATTAGGATCTGGCATTACTTGTGAATGCAAAACTTCTCTTTTCTTTTTCCCTTTTTTTTTTTTAAGTAGCAAAAAGTCTGTCCTAGAGTCTGAGACTTTCAGTAGTGAATGGTTAGATCTGATTTTTAACCCTACGAAGTTTGTGTCTATTGAGTGATGATAGCATCATAATCTGATGCTGCTCATAAGATCCCTGAATACTACTTAAAAAAAGAGTAACTAAAATGTTTAAAGATATTTGCTTTGTCATATACCCAAGTGTGTTGAACTGTATTTGGTTATAATCCTTGTACTTAAAAGATATGAGTATTAATTCAAGTATGATTTACTTTTATAAATGTATGAATGAAAGATGCATTCAAGAATTACTTTTTTTATGAAGAGAAATTGTATGACTGTTATGTATATGAATTTTGTATTGTTGCAAAAACATGATGGGAATTTGTGGAGAACTTTGGAACTCGAGTAGTATGCTGAAAACCTGCGTGTTACATGAACCAAGTTGCTTGTATACTTTACCCATGGGCTTAAACTCAAAAGGTCACATCTTGCTCTGCAGGCGTGGTTTCAGATCAGTATTAAAATACCTAAATGCTGAGATTATAGAGCAGAAACAAAAACATGTTAGGACTTCCCCTGACTTGTTTTCTTGTGCAGTTTGGGTGAGAGGGAGATGGTTTAACAATCCCTTTCCATTTGCTTTCCAGATGTTGTTCACTTAGCTTAGTAAGAAAAGGATTTTGACATTGGGTGTGCTGTCGTGTTTTCAGCTAAGGAAGTAAGAAAAGCTTCAGAGCTAGTGTGGCAGTCATGGTGACAAGGCCCTGATGGATTAGCCTTGGTGCTGGAGGCATGGAGGCGTGGTGCTGGGGTCCTCAAAGGCCAATTTCATGGGAAAATTGGGATGTAGCATTCTCTTTCAGGATTCTTATTATATTCTTAGTAGAAATACTTTTTAAAAGCCAAGAGCTTTTATAGTAAATGATTTGCATTTTCAAAGAATCTAACAGTTTTGAAGGAACATTTTGGAAGTCCAATTTAAGTCTTAGTGGTTTCTGTTTTTAGACGATACGGCACAGGTGAGGTCAGGTGGACAAAGTTAATGTTAGTACTAATGTCTTTATAGCTGGTTGTGTGTTGTTTTGGCAAGTCCTAGATCCTGTTGATCCAGTAAGACGTGGCATTTTGGAATCAAAATTGTTGCATATGTTCATTCAAGACACCATTTAGATTATGATACTTTTCTGAAACACCAGGTGACTGTTTTTTGTGAATGAACGCAGAAGAAGCTGGAAGTAGTGAATAGCTGAAAAAATGGGAGGATACCATCACTGAGCAGGAAAGGGGGAGACTTCCATTTTTCAAGATCCTGCTACAGCTCTGCTAGACCTTCTCGAAAAGCCATACATTTTGCAAACATGGACTTTACAGTCACCTAGATGTGATTTTATTTAAACTAAAGTGATGTTAAAGCTGAAGTGATCTCTTTCACCGGTATTTCAGTTTTTCTTTCATGAACCAGATGTTTCCTGCATTCGTCACCTCCCAGCAAGTGTACAGCCCTATGACTCACAAACAAGGAGGTAGGAAAGCCATCAAGAGGCCTCTTGACATAAGAATTGAAGATTATATTGAGCACGTGAAGTTCTTTGTGTTGTTTTGCTCTGATGCATTTAAGGAGTCTGCTTGGAAATACTGTTCATGGATATCCACCACCAAAAGTGACATCTCCTTAATGACATAATCACAGAAAAGGATTTTGTTGGATATTCATCTTTTAAATCAGTATTGCACTATATGTGAGAGAACAGTCTAACCCTGTACTCATCACTTAGACCAAAGCAGAACTATAATAGTAAAGGAGTGCATTGATGTGAGATGTCATTCAAAATGGTTTTATTTATTGGTCACCTTCATTTTAAAAGAATGCAGCTTTTACTGTAAGGCACTGCAAAATGCTTTGACTGTTCAGTGAAGAAACCTGCTTCTGTTCCTAAATGATCTGTGCTTGAAACAATCAAAAGATGATAAATAATTGTAATATCTAACTTATTTGAAGAAAAGGTTCTTCACTGAAATTTCTTAATGAAAAACATGCAATTTTGGGATGTCATTATTGGTTATTTTTTGCAAGCAAATAGGCTCAGATACTTCAAAATTAAGTAATAATGTAACTAAGCCGTTCTGAAGGATTATTTGGCCCAGGACGCAGTAATGGTTTCTATTGGACTTTATTATTTTCTTAGTTCTTATATATGCTTACCAGAAATGGCAGATTGATGTATTTTTTTGTGGTAGAAAAAGTAAATACTTATACGTCTATTGATAAATGGCTCAGCAACTAGTACAATTGTTGGATGGAGACTAGCTGCATGGAGAAGATTATAGCTTTCCAAATTAACCAGCTCGGTTTTGCTCGAACAGAAAATCTCTGATGGGTTAAGATTAGGTGGGGGGGGAAAAAAGATTCTATTTTTCAAGAGTGTATTACAAACTTTAAAACTTCCCACTCTAAGGATGAATTTCCATTAGCTTCTTTATTGCCTCTTAAATCCAGTTGCTACCTCCATCCACAGGAAAAAAACTAGTAAGTCTGCTTGCTTCAGGAAATTAATATGTATTTACTTGATTTGGCTTTGTAAGTGGTTTATACTATAACATTTATTTTTGTATACCCACTGTATGTCAACCAAGAAGAGGAGAGCTCTCCTGTCATGTACAATGGAGAATTGTTCTTAGTAGTATCCAGTAATATATCTTAGAGTTCAAAATGTGGTAGACTAGAATTCTACCTGCTCTAAATACTGTAATAAAATCACCTACTATAATGTGGATGGAGACACCATTTTGTTTTAGGAAAATATTCTTATTGGGGTTTTTTGTGCCGGTGTCTTCAGGAATTTGTAAATGGTCTGCCATAAAACCCTTTGTAAGTTAAGAGACAGAAAACGTTTAGGACTTTCTGTTCCCAGCTGTCTTACTGATTTGCAGTGAGAATTTGTGTCCATTGCTGCACCCCTGGGTGACTGAGACTGCATGTTTCTTGAACAAACTTCACTTTTTTTAAAGCAGAGATCTATTTTTTGGAAACACTTGTGTTTGAAAATCTGGCAAAGTATTTGCACACAAATTAGCTTGGTTGGCAGGTATGAGGAATTATAGAAGTATTTTCGTGGAGCTGAATTATGAACATTTCTAGTGATTTTTGGTTTGCTGCACAATAATGCCATTCTCTATTTTAAAACATGCACACCCCCCCCAGTCTCATACTGAGAACAAAGCAATGACAGATCTGGATAGGCTAAAATACATGTCCATACACACAGCATGGTCCAGGTTTGTCAGTGGTTTTTCTCCAGATCTCTTACTTTCTACAGAGGTGTGCCTCCTTGAGTCAGGTCATATCACTGCCAGCAAGCTGAGCTGTGTGTTGGAATGACATCTTGGCATTGGAACATCTTCATGCTGGCAAGCTGTTGGAATGGCTCTTGGCTTGATTTTAACCTGTGCCAACTTCTGTAAACCATTTCTAGGCATGGGTCAGGAGATAGGATATTCCTGTCTTGAGGCCAGGACAGTTAAATTTACTGATACAGCTGAAGCCTCAGTAGATTCATATAGCTGTCAGTAGCTGAATAGGTGGTAAATTTGAAGATTAATTGACTTACACACAGATATATAGGAAGTCCTTGGAGACTGCAGGGGTCAGTCTAATTGCCATGTTCCATATGAAATGTCTTGCCACAAAAT